ACATAAATTTTGACAAATGTCATTTGTTTATATGGATTGTGAACCACATAAGATATTTGTTAAGTTCGCAACTTTATATCTAAAAAATTATCTGCGTGCACAATGTGATCAAACATAATATTGTCAATTGGCAAAAATAAAAATAAAATATAAATAAGAAACAAAAAATAAATTAATAATTAGATATTTTTAAAAAGATATTCCATAATATTTGATTAAACACTAAATTCGGCTATTTGGAATCAATTATATTTAAAAGCAGTATTATTATGGAACAAAATGTTATGGAATATCTTTTTAAAAACAGTATAATTACGATATCAAGATATTTAACCACGATTCAATCTTTTTAATTCAATTCATATCTCTTTTTGGACTTATGATTCATTTTAATATAATATAAATTTACCGTAAAAATGAGAGTTGGACTTACAATAATCACGATATCAATATTAACAATATAAATGCTAAATAAATTTAATTATTTGGACTGTACACTTTATTATATACATATCAATAAATCGCCTATTTGAACTCTAAATATTTTATTTTTTTCATATATAGTTATGCAATATATGCAACTTAACTATGAGTAAAAAATATTCTAAAGATTTCATTTCAATCATGATAACATGTTTTTTAAAATTGCCACAATTTTCGATTCACTAACACACTACTCATGTAAACATCTTTTGTTATAATATACGATTTTCGTTTTATCATTTTGAATAATTTTCTTATAGTTATTTTTTATCTACAAATGATATAATATCGTTGTTGTTTTTTTTAAACGTAATTATTTTTATAAATATGTTTACAAAAAATACAACCAAAATTCCAAATCTCTGTTAAAACATAACAAAACAAAATCGTTCTCAATTTTTTGAATGAATTTGGCATAAATGAGAATGATTGACAAAAAAAAAAAAAGGATATACTCAAAATCTACACTTTAACTTTAAGGTAACAATTTTCCTTATACTCGATATAAAATTAAACTTCACCAGATAATCGTATCTTTAGTATCTATCACAATATTACATATTTTCACTATAGTTTTATTTCATGGTGGTAACATTCCGAAAATCAACAAAAAAAATGAAGGAATGATGTGTCTATGCAATTCACAATTACCAAGTGGAGAGCAATCTTGGTAAATATCGATTTACGGTTACCAAGTGAAAAATAATTTTTCATGGAAAAACAAAGAGCTTTTTAATAATGTATGATTTTTTCATGATGATCATTTTACGATTACCTAACAAATGTTCTATGTATTATAACTTATTAATTAATAGTCTTCAATTATAGATTTTACCAAAATAATTACAGCCCGTGCATCGCACGGGGTACGTACTAGTTATTAATTTATAAAAAAATATTTAAAATAAAGTTTTAAAAAAAGGTTTGAGGAAATAACCCCGTCGTGCTGCGCACGGGTACCATACTAGTTTATATTAATATAAATGTGTCAGTGAGATAATATATTAATTATTACAAGCTAGCTCTAACATGCTCATGTTTAATGTTCTGGCTAAAAAGACAATGCTTACTAAAACAGGCGGAAAATAGGTTATAACCCTATTGCTTTTTAGACTTAACACTTATTAAAAATGGTAGAAAATAGATGATAACATATTGCTTTTTAGACTTTAACGGACAGAGCATGTGAAAATAACTTATTTAATATTTTTGTTCCGTGCACGAACTATGTACTAGTTACCACAAATAGTAATATTTTACTAAATTCCTATATATAAAAAACTGATAATTAAACTAACACTAAATATATTCGACATTTTACATAATAATGTAAAAACAAAGCAAAATATATAATAATATAAAATAAATCCATTGAACATAATAAAATTTAATTACGTTCATAATATTGGGTATGCAAACTCAATCACACATCGGAAAACTAAAGGTTTCAAGTTCAATATATAAGCTTAGTGGGGCTACTCTCTCTATTGCCAATTAGTTTTAGAATGAAACATCATTTAGGCTTGTATGTTGGGTTTGATGGAGTACTGAGTTTTGAGTTGTAGGTCCTAACAATTGGGGCATAATTTTAAAATTGGTCCTATAATTTGATTACTTTCTAAAAAACCACCCCGATATTGACCACTTTCAACCTTGGTCCTATAATTTGACATTTTAATCAAATTTGGTCATTTTTTAATCAATTTTGGTCTTTTTTTAATCACATTTTAATCCATGTTCTGGAAAAAAGGACAAAATTTGATTAAAATATCAAATTATTGGATCCAATTTAAAAGTGGTCAATATCGGGGAGGTTTTTTGGAAAGTGGCCAAATTATAGGACCAATTTCGAAATTATGCCTAACAATTGGTATCGGAGCCACGATTGGTAGCCTAGTTGCGATGTGGATGACGTGGCATGTTTCCCGTGGAGCCGGTGGACGGCTGTTGGATCCGTGTGCCTTGTCGAAAGTCTTCCTGGCGAAAGAGTGGTCAGGCGGCGGTTTCCGTGGGTGATGACAGCGGTACTAGATGGTCTGATCGTATAGAATTTGTTCGAGGGGAGGCCCAAGTATGTGGTTCTGTGTTTGAGTGGAGGTTTGTTGGGTGTCCAAACTTAATCAAACATCGAAAAATTAAAGGTTTCAAGTTCAATATATAAGTTTAGTGGGCTACTCACTCTATTGCCAATTGGTTTTAGAATTGAACCCCATTTGGGCTTGTATGTTGGGTTTGATGGAGAACTGAGTTATGAATTGTACATCACTTCACTGCTCATTACTTAGTCCTACTTCTAGTACACTATGTTAGCCATTGTACGAAAAATATCCATCATATTGAGTGTCCTCATAACGGTTCACTGAGTTATCCTTTATTCAAAACTTGTACAATGATCAATATAAATGTACTAAAATTGATACAACACATCAGAAATGTGTGGGATTTCAGTTACAATTATAGTGTACAGTGACCAATATAATGTACTAAAATTGATCCAACACATCAGAAATTAGTCCGGCCATGTCAACATTATATCCGTACATCACGAGATTTATAATAAGTCTATTCTATTAATCTTATATGTGTAAGTTAATCGATGTTATCTTGCTTTCTTGTAAAAAAGTAACAATGTTTGTTTCTTTGTCTTTAAATTAGTGGGATTTCAGTTACACGATTTTGTTTCATCTTCTTCATTTCAATCATACAATTTTTCCTTCACACATTTTATAGTCATGCATGTTGCATTTTCTTGAATTAAATTAAGCATTTTTTTGTGATGAAAATTTGTCCACATTAATCCTTTATATATAGGTGTGTGATCTATTGAACCTTAGTTATGTAATTGTCAATCCCTTATTTTTCACCTTTCGTTATTATTATTATTATTATTATTATTATTATTATTATTTGATTTATTGAAATGATGTTACAATGGGAGCAAAACCTTATAGATCATGCATTATATGCATGATGATATTTGGTGCAATATATATAAGCTTATCCCCTAATCAATCCCCAATAAGAAATTGAATGACACAGACAATACTAGCCATGCCATAATTTCACATAAACTCAATTTCTTGGTAATTTCTCCATGGTTACTGGTGAGCCCATCCCTATCCGCTTTCTCCGCCGCTAGAATCTCAACCGGGAACTTACACGTTCCATTGGACGGGTCGTCGGGCACCAAAACACCGAGCCCATCAAAATCGCACGTCACCCCCTTA